TTTCGGAAGTCTACGGTACTATGTTTAGCTGATTTAGTCTACTAAATCATATAGCCGATTCCTATCCCTAGGTGCCTGGGCCTGTGCCTAGCACTATGTTTTAATAGTGCCCGTGCCTGGCAATTGCAGAACCCTAATCATAATCATAACGCCAAGCGACTTACAATCTATTCACGTGATTTTATTCCTTATTTTGCTTAATTATGAGAAGCATATGCGATGCATATTATGTGATCGCATATCCTGGAAATCCTAGCGGAGCCATAGAAATTTTAATCAATTAAATAATTTTAAGCAAATGATTATGGCGGTTATTCTTAATTCGTAATAAGAGATACCAAAATATCCTGGATTTGGTGATGGGACCAGATAAATTTCTCGGAAAAATGTAGTGTCATGTAAATTCAACAGATATTTACAAATAAATAGGCGTTGAAGCCGCGCCGAATTCGCGAGTAATACAAATCTAAAAAAAGGAATTTAATATAAATGCGCGCCGTACGTAGAAGCTTAGGATGTTATAACATCATGGTTAGGGGCTATGGGAGCAGACTATCACTTGATATACGTGAAATTTTATTCTTTCATATTTTAATTAGTACATCAAGGTCTGTTTAAACATTAGTTTTCGAGAATTTCTCCCCTGTTTTCCTTTTTTTTCGGAAGTTTCCGAATTCTATGGTTCTTTTTAGAAGTTGTTTGTATTACTCGCAACGATATCCAAACTTTATAAACATTCCATCATTGCACAAGTGGAAGGGGCGAAATACAGCGTTTTATTATTATAAAAAAAAAACAGATAAAATTTAGATTGTTGATTTGTTAGTATGTATTCAGAGTGTATATTAAAAATTAATCTTGATTTAAAAATGCTAAGCCCAATATATTTTTTAACAGGTTATACGTAGCGAGTTTCGTATAATGTAGTAAGGAACTTTTTAACAATAACGATAGCGATAACGATAAATGATGTATTCAAAAAAAAACGGGTTTCAGATGTTTTGAGATCACTTTTCACAGGAACAGTCTGATTTCTTGAATTCCGATATACCGATATATATATATATATATATATATTAGAATAGATATGTCTGGTACGTATTCATGATTTTAATAATCATTATTTTAATCTAATGGTTAGCTCTCTTTTGCCTACGTATTCAATAGACTATTATTTAATGCATACGTATACTGCTGAGTAGTATCTTAAAAATCGGATACATTAGTATGGTTAAGCAGTAAATCATTGCAATAAAATAGTACGTATGTATGTACGTGCATGTATTAATTTCGTTAAAAACGCCCAATACCGATACTGCACAAGTTTTCTCCAAAACTATACTTATTAAAGAATGCGATTCTTTTTTTTTTATATGATTATCTTTTATAATATTTCTAATTCTGGTCTACTATTATACCACAAATGTATCCGTTGTCCTGTGAAGAATTCTTCTAAAGAATTCTTTAGTTACGTATGTACAACCTTTAAGTGAGTTTAATAATAATTGTTTGAATTTAATACTCATCGTTACACAATCATATAATGACGAATCGAACCGAACTCGCTTCAAATATCTTAAACTTTGTCATTTCTTTCAAATTAAATACAAAAAGACCAATTAAACATAATTTTGAAAGGTAAATCTTGAGATTTTTAATCTTGTGGCCGAGGAAAACGTTATTCATTAAAGTGTAATCATGGTAATATATTTGTAAAATATAAATCAGCTACTGAAATCTCACTCTATTCAATCGACCTTTTGATAATGCCTCCAACTCATGGTCCAATCCACATTGGTCCAGTATCTAAACCAACAATAACACAATCTCTAAAAACCGCATTATGCTCGTCAAAACTAAATGTGTTATTGGCATTTATTCCTTTGGGATTTTTGGCTCATTATTTAAGATGGAAGGAAGCTATCATTTTTGTGTTTAATTTTCTAGCATTGATACCGTTGGCGAATTTACTTGGGTTCATTACTGAAGATATTGCAAACCGGTCTGGTCAGGTAGATCTAGGTGATTTCATTTCGATGTTAAACGAATACACGTTTGAAATTGATTCAACTTCTGATTGTTCAATAGACAATCGGAGGCCTTCTGAATGCAACTTTCGGTAATGCCGTAGAATTAATAATCTCCGTCGTAGCATTAATTCAAGGCGAAATTCGTATAGTTCAGGCGTCGATGTTAGGTTCTATAATATCCAACCTCCTATTGGTCTTAGGATCGTGTTTCCTTGCCGGTGGATATCGTTATAAAGAACAAAATTTTAATCAAAAAGCTGCGCAGACTAATTCAGGCTTAATGGCAATAGCTTGTATTGGATTGGTTATACCCGCAGCATTTCATTCCGAAGGCAAACAAGAAAGTAGTGTGAATGGAAATGGAAATGGAAATGACGTCTTAGTACATCACCAAGTTCTGAATTTGAGTCATGGAGCTGCATTGGTGTTGTTGACTATTTACGTGCTTTTTTTATATTTTCAGGTATTCCAATTAAAATCTTCAAGTGTATGCTCATGTGACAATTATCATAAATTTTTTTTATCATAGTTGAAAACTCATACTCACCTCTACGATGAAGATGAATCCGAAGATCCACAGCTATCATTTGCGACATCTTTATTTTTACTAGCTTCAATAACGGTTCTCGTTACTTTTGCTGCTGATTATCTTATCGAGTCTATCGAAGGAATCACAAATACTCTTAGGTTAAGTAAAACCTTTGTTGGGTTGATTTTGTTACC